TATTAGTGCACCGCCTTGTCTTTGTTAAATCTATCTACTTCACAGTACTTTGTCTCATGGTCAACTGTTTCATTTTGACCTCGTTTCCACGTCATCTGTGCAGACACAAGGCAAAATGAAGTCCATTTGTTAAATTTGAGATCTTACTTTATATCTTGTAATATTACTACTGTAACTAACTTGGCTATTATAAAAAAATCACATGGGATATTTCTCCTATAAGAGAAAATGGCAAGACATTATTCGGGACAAGCCGCAGAGTAAAAAAGCATCTGATTAAATGATATTCCAACCAAACACGAGAGTTAGGTGCCCTAATCGTCAGCTGATACACGTTGGTAAAACAGCAGAGGAATGTTAACCAAGATGAAGAAGCCAACCCAATATGGTGACGAGCTGCAGGTAAACTTTAACAACGCCGAAGTGGAAATCTAAAATGAAATAATACGTAGCATACATTGAATTTAAGCAGCTAAAATCAGTAAGAAATATATAGGGACACCATCTTAATGAGCAAGGGTTTAGTAACACATAAGCATGTGAAAGCAAGCGATAAAATGGAACGACGTTTCGGAGTCGTCGTGGCACCATTATCAAGTTCGAAATAATTAGAATAATTAGCAACATTTCGTGTACCAAACAATCAAATCTGTTCTTACCCTTGACAAAAGTTTTCTGTCGATTGTTTTATCTAATGCGAGCTTAGATCGCTCACATTTGTTTGGGAAATCGTTTAGAGCTTTATAAGGTGATCTTACTGAAAGGTGTATCAGAATCGGAACTGAAGACGATGAGTTTACGGTCCATTTTAATGCTCGTCCTTGCTTGAGCAGATAAGTGTTGGGTTCATTTCATGGGCTAAGGATAGAGGATTTTCTGCTGACAATCTGCATCCATAGAGGAAGCAGGTTGGGAGAGTTCTCGAAAGTTATGCAAACCCGAAACTGCGTCTCGGGTTTGCATAACTGTGTCGAATTCNGCCCGACTTCAATGGCTGCTTGACATCAGGCCGACTGGCACACAAATTTGCCGCCGTTTCAAGGTGCACGTCCGGCTTTTTGGCACGTGACACGTTCTCCTCCAATCGGAAAACGTATTTGAGATGGGAGGTATCTACTTCTACACCTTTCTACACAGTTAAAAAAGTGGAAGAGTATGATAAGGCTACTTGGCTGGTTGACTAGATACGAATACCCTTTCCATGGCGATATCAGTGACTGCAGATGGCCATATCATTTCGCCATGGCGACATTCATTTACGGTGCCCATAAAATTGTATAGCGAAACGCAGCGTTCGAATTCTCTTCAATTCTCCACTTGAGCAAGACCTAGCCTTTCAGTGCATACCCGTTTGATAAATAGTTAAAAATAACACTTATCTCAGCCTCTTGCAGTCTCGCATTTTTTGTTCCGTGTTTGCTTGTTGTCTGCAGCTGCTTTGAAGCAATTTTAGCGAGTTTAATATCGCTTCGTAAGTTTCCTACTCTTAAGAGAAAGACAAGGCTGCATAGGCTAATTCGGAACGCCCGATCCGAGAAGCGAAAAATTCCTGCATAATGTGTTCGAGCGGCCACAAATGTAAACCAGAATCCAAGCAAAAAAGCACTTATTTCATTTCAGTTCAATCAAAACGTCACGCCAATAACTGAACTTGTGACTTTTGTTTTGTTTTGTTGCTAAGTGATCTAATTATAATGATCTCTTGTTTCGTATAATGTGACTGTTTACGTGTGGGTGAATCGATCTGCTGCTGTGATTTTTCAGCGAATTCAAGAGTTACTCAAATTGTGAGTGTTCACTGACACAGGGAGTCAGGCCAATTAGGAAATCCAGTATCACTGTGCATGAGTTGTGATGGAATGTCAGCCTGCAAAGGAAGTCTTGTTCATTTGCATGATTTCATCAGTCCTGGCTAACGCTATCACTCGTTAATAACCCACTGACAGAATAAATCAACATCGGAACTTAACGTTTGCAGGACCGACCCCTCATTTGCATTTCACTAGCATAATCTGCTAACGCAATCACGAGTTTAAAACGTAATCCATAAAGGACAACGTTATGTCAAGCGGAAACTACTTCATAATATATCTTAAAATTCTTACCGGCGTTCGTTTCAGCGTATCTTTGCGAGGACCTATTTGACGATCTTTTCAGAGCTACAATGATATATATTAGATTATTTTCATTCTCGATACAAATTGCACTGCATTGATATGATGAGGCACAGAAGGCCGAAAGAGTACAGTCTGCAGTTAGATAGACTCCTTGGTTCATACCTTGTTGAGCACTCTCGTTAGGTTGCACCATTGTCACTAACCTTTGTGTGCGAAGCTCGCTTGTTCGCCAGTTTGAGTACTCTCGGCATGGTTTAGATGATACGTGTGGGATCATCAGAGGTAGCTACTTAGCCTAACCTCTACCCTAGTATCAGCACTGCACTGTTGAGGCCCAGAAGACCGAAACAGCACTGTCTGCAGTTACAAATTATATTATATATCACCAGCGTCTTTCATCGGCATCAGATATGGAAAACGGTCTTACCTAAAGCTAACACATTGTTCCTTTTACGGGTGCGTCGGATCTCTGAGAAAAAAAAAACCGGAATATTCAGACGGTGCTGCATCTATATGTAGCTGCTTGTTACTCACGCGATGGCCTGCATATCATCATACAAATATCACTTAGTAATTATCTTATACTAGAGAGTGGCACAAGAGACTGAGATCTCTACCTTGATTGTATACTGAATGAACTGTATGTCATGTATAATTAACGTTTGTGACAACAGTATACGAAATAGCTAACCTCTTGTTTTCTTTCCTCTTTTCGATCTGGGGTGCGTTGTTCAACCTGTTAAAAACGATAAAAGGCGTTTAAATGGAAAGAAAGCTGTTCTCCACGCACCAAACGGTCTTCCATACCACCCTGTGAATATTGCTTATGGAATAAGTTATAAGAGGACGTGAAACATGGGGGACTAAACTCCATATTAAGCGAAATCTGAACAGAAAAACCATGTGACAAACCGATACAAAATTACAAGCACGTCCGCTTCTAAATTGTAATTTAGTGATTTGTGGGTTACAATCGCGAATGACCTCAAGAGACAGTACAAAATACACTCACTAAAACACAATAGCTAACCAACACTAAAAGCTGACCAAAACTACACCCAAGATTCAAATTCGATCGTTTGGGGTAATACAACTCCACCACTTTCTAGAAGTAGTATTATTGCTCTTCCCGAGAAGCTACATTATGAGGTTTTGACGGGCAGGTTGTGGTTTCAACACGAGCTTGAAGTAAACCATCATAAATCTGGTGTCACTTACATGTACATGCATCGGACAAACTAACATATAACGCTTGTTCCAAAGCGTTGAAGTAAGAATTATTATGTTAAATAGTCATTACATTAAATTTTCTCCCTACAGATAACTGCCTCTTAAAATCGCTTACGAATAATGACATAAATTTTTACTGTGTTTTATGGTCGTTAATAGCTCGCCTTTTGCTCTTCCTTCTGTCTCTATCTTGCGGCAACTGCACGTGGATAAGATTGTATCCAAGTTTAGAGTTACTTTCGGTAATGGCGAGGAGACGCTCACGAGGACAGGCTGCCAAACAATTCACTTTTCTCTCCAGATCGATTACACTCAACAGGTCACCAGACTTGACGTTAAACAGCCGCACACAATAACCTCCTGAGGTAGCCTGGGAGCTAACAACACATTCCACATCACTGACAAATTTGCAATCAAAAAATTGTTTGCATCTACATAGAATACGCAATGTGTCTCCAGAAACTGCATCAAGGACGTACATTCCTTCGCCATCCCTCTCAGGTGTTTTTGCCCAAATCACGACAAACGTTTCCGCAAGAGAGAACATCCCAGGCAAATTGGACAAGTCAAGTGGGGAAGAGAGACGCTTTTTCCAGAGGGTAGTTTTGTCATCCGAAAGCCTAAGGGAGCTCTCGCCGCAGGTCAGCAGCTGGATTTTACTGTTACATGAAACAAAACGTCTGCGACCAATTGGGATTGTGGACAATATCTCTCCGCTAGTGGTATCCAGAATGATAATCACTCTGATTTCACCTGTCCATTCTTTACATGCACATGCCACTTGTTCTTCTGATATGGAAACCACCTGATGGATTCTGTAAAAGTGGGTCAAATTTCGCACGCACTTAGACAATTCATAACTCCACAGCACAAGACCATCCATGGTTGCAAATAAAACACCTTCTTTCACGGCTACTAGAGAATGATTGCATTCTGCCACGACCATGTTTTCGATGTGTTTCTCCGCCATGAGCTTCCCACTTGCAGCGTCCAAAGCCCTAACTGTTGGTTTGGCCGCACCACTGAGAACATAAACAGTCTTGCCACTCAAAGAAAGTACAATTTCTTTGACTACGGTAATCGTAGGTTCTCGGTTAGATTTCCATAGCTCATTAACATTCAACATGTCTATGAAACTACGATAAGGAGAACACCGCAAGACAGTTTCCTTGTTCAACACAAAATCAAATGCTCCATCCCGAAACGAAATAGGGTCTCCTAACAAAAACCCAGCCTCATTAGGAGATTCAAATTGCCAGGGCTCGGATTTATCAAAAACATATAGCATACAGCTGGGATGCTCCACCAAACTGATACGCAAACGAAAAAGGTTTAAAGGAGCGGAATGTGCTAAACTAAAACAAAAAAGGGAACGAAAGTCAGTTGAGCACTTAATCATTCCACAAACTGCTGGAATGGCTGTTTCTACTATTGTTCTAAAACCATCCATGACATCAACCAAGCAAATCAAACCCGTGGAAAAGGTCATTGCGAGGAACCTTCCATCTCGTGACCAAGTAAACGATAAAACATCGTTACTTCTGGTGGTACGAGCAATTTCTGAACCATCCTCCAGGCTCCACATAATAATGCACTTGGCATCATCAGGACAATCAGTTAACATCCTAGTCATGTCTCCTGAAATTGAGCAAACTGTAAAAGTGCAGTTGCTATTAGGAAAAAGTGGTTTCAGTTCTCCCTCAAAAGTATACGCATGGCTGAGGACTCCTGGTAGGACCACTTCTTCTGTGGGATGAAAACCAACTGAGCGGTAAAATGACAAGACTGAAGAAACTAGCGGCGCTCTATATGCTCCAAAAAGATCTAGGAGAAGTTTCTTCATCATAACAGGACGTACCCACACCAGCTTGCCAGTATGGAGTGACCACAATTGAATCGTTCCGTCCTTACATTCACACACCATGTAGTCTAACTGTTGTGAAACATCCAAACAGGCTACCTGGGACCAACACTGAAAACGGGCAAGTAGAGCTCTCTGCTGCATCTCCTTGTGAACTAATTCCATATATGATATTTCTGGATATTTGGTCCGTAACAGGTTTGAGGCCACAGAAGATAGTACTGCTCCTCCCTCATTCAGCAAGGTTTCAAAAAAAACGTAAGGATGATTAGTAACTGTGTTGAAGTACTTTCTTAAAAGAAAGATTAAGACCTCCAGCAAATCTTTACTGTCTCTAG